CACCTATTAAGAATTTTTGGCACAGATGGATGATAAGTAATTTACTATTACTTGACATGAAAATGAGTTGCTTGGGAATCATCCTTTTTCACAAGATTCACTAATATCAGAATGTGAACGTTTTTTTTTTTTTTTTTTTTTTTTGTGGAATCTATCAACTTATCTACCACCCCTTCTTTGAAAATGAACGAGGCCTAACATCTCCAACTTTCATGAATCACACTCTCTGCGACCCACCTAGGCATTCCGTTCAAGTTGTGAACCTTAATGGGCCAGGTTAAACAATAAGCCCGACTTGATGACCAGACCCTATCGGGTCGGGTTAGGGTTAGGTATATTTAGCTTTAGTGTTGGGTCAGGGTTTTTGATTCTTTCACTTGATTTGGGTTTGGGTGGTGCTTGGGTTTTGGATAACATACCCATCGGGTCATGATACCGCTACATACATAGAAAGTATTCTTGTAACTTTTTGACTTCTAACTCCATAGCCTTGAAGTTTACGATTTTTTTTACATGTTGATTTTGGTTCTCTTTGTTCTAAATGGAAAATACCTTAAAATGATCTATAAAATAAACCCATAACTTAAATTAATGGCCTTTAAACTTTAAAAGCATGTTAAAAAATACAATTGAAATGCTATATGTCGAATGGGGTTGGTATCAAGATAGATCCTATAGGATCATATCAGGCTTGGAAATTATGTTTCTTTTTTTTTTTTTTTTTGAGTTGGGTTGGGTTAGGGTTGAGGCAAACCCATGCCAAACCTGACCCTTTGACATCCTTGGGCATAACCTACATTAGAGTACCAAGTCATGTATTCTCTAATAAAAATACAAGGAAAATTATTGAAAGAGATCCCAACCCATGTATTCTATGTAATATAATTGTGTATTATTAATGAAGTGATTAGAGAATAAGGCCATGTTTGGTTCACTGCTCTGGGCCTCATTCTCTTAATTCTTGTTTGTTCTAGGCAAGAATGAACAAGAATGAATAACATTAGAGTGTTTGGTTATAAAATTTTTGTCAAGGGCCACTTTCTTTTTAGAATGAAAAATCAGTTCCATAGCCCAAAAATTGAATAGCTGGCAACATGAAAAATAATCATGCCCCATCTTGCTCATTTCACTCTTTGAGGAAACTCTGCCTACAAAACTGTTATCATAGATGTTTACTTTTGCGAAAGCACTTTTATAAAAGTACTTTTACATGAAAACACTTTTATGGAAGTACTTTTATAAAAGCGCCTTTATTGAAGTACTTTGTAAAAGCACTTTTATTGAAGTACTTTGTAAAAGCACTTTTACAAAAGTACTTTTATTAAAGGGATTTTACGAAAGCATTTTTACAAAAGTAATTTTATAAAACACTTTTATGAAAGTACTTTTATAAAAGGACTTTTACGAAAGTACTTTTACAAAAGGACTTTTATGAAAGTGCTTTTGTGAAAACACTTTTATGAAAGTATTTTTATGGAAACACTTTTACGAAAGTACTTTTGGAAAAGCAATTTTAGGAAAGTACTTTTATAAAAGCACTTCTAGTTCCATACATTTACATTAATACCTCCAACTAGCCAGGTGGCCCTTGCGTTGCAAGGGCTAATGAGTACAGAAAAACAATTCTTAAAATATGTGAAATTTTTTGCTTTACCAGTTGATTAAAGGTAAAGTTATGTTGATTGTTGGACCATCATGAAGACACCCCAGCCCCCAGCCCCCAGCCCCTTAGTGTGACAATGGTAAGGGGTGTCCTAACAATCTGTAAACAACACAAAGGGTATTCTGACAAAAGAGTGTGTCACGGAAATAATGAGCAATTAATTAAGGATTGCAAGAATACGTTTTTGAAAGGAATTAATTAAATATTTGGGAGTGGTGTAATAAGCAATGCCCATATGAATAGAGATAAACATTAAGGTTGCGTTTGGTTGCAATGCAAATAAATTTGAAGTGATGCAAAATCATGGCAGTGCAAATGATTTGATTGTAAACTCTGACCTATTTTTGTTTCAAATTTTAACTTATTTTGTTTGATTGCAGTCTAAATGAAGGAAATTAATACATAAAGTAAAATCCAAAACAAAATTAAACAAGAATTTGCATTTTTTATATTTGCACTCCCATGCATTTGTACTAGTGCAAATAAATTTGCATTGCAACCAAACACAGACTAAGTTGTAAAGTTTCACCCATATGCTTCTTACAAAATAAGGAAAAAAAGACTTTGTTCTTTACATAAACAAGTTAACATATTCCACTTGAGGTGAGCTATTTGAATCGGCTTGTATAGCATGCAGACATTGCTCTTCAATGGACAATTTTGTCTCTCAACACCATGACTAATTATTTGTGATTAAACACCAAGACAGTGAGTCAAACTTGCGGTTGTCCCAACTGATCATCTTCCATCTTTAATAAAAACCAATCCTGCTCAATTAAAAAGGAAAATAAAATATTAAGGAGCTAATAAGGGAAAAGATTGGCAACCTAGTCTGAACCTACAACAATAGAAAGATAAAGGAATTTAGTGTAATTCTTGCTTTTTGTTAAAGGAAAGAGATAACCAAACAAATAAATAAAAAGAGAAGGAAGAAATTAGATTTGATCAAGAAACTATAGATTCTCACAACTAAGGACCAACTTTTCCAATTCCTATTTCTTTGAAAAATCTATAGGAATTTTTGTTTCATTTGGGAGGAAAAGGACTCAAAAAGGTCTATAGATGTTCATTTCGCTGTTCTCTTTTCACTGAAAACTTTCAGAAAATTACCATACCATGTGGTCATTGGTTGAAATATCAGTCCCAACACGGGTTATAGAAATTACATACAATCACTGTCTAGAAAATTCCCCTGCTTGATAAATAGATGATCATGATTAATCATATATATATATATATATATATGAAACAAGGTATATCAGTTTTTCAAACTTCATTGATGGGGCAAAAGCTCATTGATCCCTACTGATCTCTCTAAAAATGTGAGTTTTGTAAGACCTCACTATGCACCTCCTACAAAAAATATAAAATGATCAAAGAACAAAGCAGAACATTGATTCCCTATGACCCTATCTCCGTCCCTCCCTCTCTCTCTCCCTCTCCCTCTCACAACTCCAATCCTTCTCCGCATTTAGTGTTGGCACTTTACTTAAAACCGCGATAGTAACCTTTGCTAAAACCATATGATATTCACATTTCACAAATAAAAATGAACATTTAGTGTTGGCACCTGTAGTAGCCAAACCCACTATTCTCTTTAGGGGCTTGTCCTTCAGCTCATTCCCAACAAACATATGTATGAACATGAGGATCAACAACAAAGCAAATATAATATAATCTAACCAAGAATAACAAAAATATTATGTGTTGTACAAAGGGAGGTAATATGGGAATACAAACAGTGAATCCAAGAATCTTGAAATATATTCCCTAATCTTAATTGCATGGGAGATCCAAACCATACCGCCAATGCAAAAGGAATTTGGGGGTTGTGTAGCATTGGCCTCCTAACTCCTAATAAAAATTGAATCTCCATTAGTTAGGACTTGCTTAAATTTGTATCTTCATAAGTTAACATTGTTTTACAATGAAAAATAAGGTATTTTTCTAATATTATATGTTCATCATATTCAACATAAATTAGAAAACAAAAGTTACTATTATTATTAGTATTACTATTACCACTACTAAAATTCTTATCATTAGAGGCACCTAATTACAAAAAAAAAAGCCCAAAGGAAGCAACTTATTTTATAACATTAGAGGCACTTTTTTATGCCTCTTAATTGTAATTTTGCCATTTCACTTTTGGCCAAAAGGGAAAAGTATAGCAGGCCCATTGCAGAAACTTGAATCCCAGGCCAACCCATACGAAATCTATAATAACGATCAAATTCAAGTTTTAAAATTATAAGACAGATTCCCCCACTAACTAAGCATCATGCTTTTCCCTGTGTTTGGAAGAGGTGTCAAATGTCATCAGTGTAAAAAGATGTTTAAGTTTTAAATACATTGATGACATTTTACACTGAACCATAAATATATATGGCCGTTGTATTTTGAAATCGATGTAAAAAGATGTTTAAGTTTTACATTGATAATCCTGATGTAGTTTTTACATCGATTATTGATGTAAAACTATAAAGGTGATGAGATTTTACATCTATCATTGATGTAAAACTACATTCCATCCAAACGCATATAAAACTGAACCAAAGTATAATTTTAAGTTGATAATAATTACATCCTTTTACCAAACACATATAAAGGTGAACCAATGTAAATTTTTATTTACATGGCATCCAAATACAGCCTATGCTTTTCTTGTTAACTGGCAATCCAGCTTGTATTTTATGTAATAATAACATTTATTTAAAATTTTATTTTAAATTTAACCATAAATTCCAAATACTAAAATGACCCTATTATACCCACGGTCATTGCTCTTTCCATGATATCTCCCGTGAATAATAACAAATAAATAAGAGAGATATTCCCAATGGATGATAGGATGTACATGTGAGGCGCCAGATGTGAGGAGCAGATCCGGTCGCCGCCCTCCCTTTTCGTTGTCTCTGCACTCTCAACTCTCATTTCTTCGACTGCTTCTTCCTGCAACTGCAAGTTCTCTTCCCCAGCGGCGCTTCTCATTTTCTCCTCCCAGCGGCGCTCCTCTTTTTCACTCTCATTTTCTCCTCCCTGGTTCCCCCTCAGTCTCGCTCTCCCTCTGTCGCGCCCTCACTCTCTCCCGCTCTCCCTCTCTCCCTCTCTCAGTCTCTCTCGCTCTCCCTCTTTCTCACTCTCATTTTCTTCTCCCTCGCTCCCCCTCAGTCTTGCTCTCCCTCTATCGCGCCCTCACCCTCTCCCGCTCTCCCTCTCTCACTTTCTCCCGTTCTCCCTCTGTCTCGCTCTCCCTCTCTCCTGTTCTCCCTCATTCTCGCTCTCACTCTCTAGCTCTCTCCTGTTCTCCCTTTGTATCGCCTCTCTCTCTCTCTCTTTCTCTCTCTCCCTCTCCCGCTCTCCCTCCCCCTCTCTATCGCTCTCCCTTTCTCCCTCTGTCTCGCTGTCCCTCTCCTGCAAAATTGTGGTCGAGGTCGAATCTAGAGGCATTGGAACTTGTACTTTATGGTCGAAGTTGAATCTACAGGAGTTGGAACTTGTCAGCGGATGCCATTTCTTGCTGGTACATAGTAGTTGAATTTTTCAGTTAGCATTCTCGCTTTTTTCAATTCTATTTCTGTCTCAGTATATACCAGGTGACGCTCTTAACCGTTTTTGTTTCTTGCGCAGTATTTGTCACTGCTCCATCATTTTGTTTGGCTTATCCATCAAACTAGGGTTTTACCCAATACATTGAGGCCTTCCTAACCGGAGGAAGTTATCAGTTTGAACACCGGTGTCACTAACAGGTATTTTATAATTTCTTTGTATGATAGTTTAATTTGTTTTAGTCAATCAAAAAGTCATTTCAAATAAATTTGATTTTTGGTTCTCTTTGCATTTCTATCATAGTAAATAGGCTGTCGTTTTTATATAAAAAATTTTGTTAACTTGTGTTTGATGATGATTCATTCCTGTTGAATGTGCATTAGAGAACGAGTGTACATTAGTTTACACATGAAAAAAGTAGATCAAGCAAGTGTTTGTAAAATTTCTTCTATGGAAGGTCAATCTACTTTGGTTATGAAAATGTCTCTCCAAAATTAAGATGATAGTTTAGTGGTAATCACTCATAACAAACATTAATAATCATATATTGTTTTGTTGTAAACTCTAGGAGGGTGTTTGCCTTCCCAACATGCTATTCAAATTCCACCTATAAAGAGCCAAATTCAGTTAATGAGAAACATTAATTTGTAAGTTGAATGTTCTCAAATCAAAGAAACCTGAATTTGTTTACCTAAGGTGAGAATTCTAGCTAAAATTAAAATAATAATTAAAAGTGATGTTGATAAAACTTAATGGGAATAATAACCTTATAACCTTAATATGGAAGGATGCTAAAGTAATTACAACGAAGGCCAACAATAAGCATGGAATAAAGCAAATAAACATGTTTTGAATAGAGGAAAAGAAATTTATTTATAAAATAAATTTATAACAAATAGGCAGTAACCATGGAACAAAGAAAATCAATGGAAAAAAAATGAAACAAACAAAAGTTTGAGAACAAAACAGAAGTTAACTCCATCACACCATTCGTAACCTATTATCATACCAAAACCACAACCAAAGAGGGTGAGGCAAAATGAAGATAAGTTACAGATTGAAATTGAAGATACACTAGCATGAAAATCCAAAAAATTGAGATATGTGACTCATGAAATACCAAGGTTAAGAATCTCCTCAACCCAAACCTTACCTTCCCCATCAATCCTGGTGGGGAGATTCTCCATTCTGTCAATCCTTCCCTGGAATCTACAACTTATCCAATTTCTAAAGTAAATCAATTGTTGAAGTGGTATCCTTGAAGGGGAATGAGTTGGTTTGTGATTCAGGATTGAGAGGACCTTTGAGAGATCATGAAAGATGTGAGATGATCCCTTTGCGTAATCTACTTCAGGATGTCAACTTCTCTCCTTAAGGTAATGATGACAGGATGTGGTCTTCCACTGTTGAGGACACCTATATTTGTGCTTCTTTTTTAAAATCTTTTATTCATTAACTGAGGAACACTCTTTTTTTTGTTAGTGAGCTGTAGCATGGTCCAGTTCCCCTTAAAGTCGAGATTTTTCTTTCCTGCAAGGCGGACAATCAAAACATTAACACCTTTGAAAGACTCCAAAGGAAGTGGCAAGGCTGGTCTTTTTCAACTCATGTGTGTGTCCTATGCTTGAAGAATGGGAAGAACAATCACCTATTGATGCATTGTTCCTATGCCTCTTGGTTGTGGCAACAGTTTTTCTATTTGGTGGGAAGAGCTTGGGTGGCACCATCTGAAGTTGTGGACTTTAAGACAGATGTGATGGGCTACTCCACCCGGAGGCAAAAGATTCTATGGCAATGTGTGGGTGGAGAAATTCTGTGAGGGCTGTAGTTTGAAAGAAATGCAAGAATTTTTGAGAGGTACAACTAAGTTGAGGAAGCAATAGAACTCACAATGATATGGGTTGCACATTGGGTTTGGTAACTGAAGAGTTTAAAGGTGTGTCTCCAAATGATATTCTAAGGGAATGGCAAACCGTGGCCAGTTTTCAAATGAGCAGACAGAAGAGGGTGCTGGAGTTGATTCCCCCAGAAGCAGGGGTGGTTAAGTTCAACTTTGATGAGTGCTGCCTTGGAAATACAGGGCCCTCTTGTGTGGGGGTGTTGAAAGGGGTCATTGTGGCAATACAATTCTTAGATTCTCAGGTCCAGCGGGTCAGGGTAATTCCCTAAGAGCTGAATAGCTCCAATCTAAGGTTGAGGCAGTAGGGGTTGAGGGATGTGGTAGTTGATTATGGGTTTGTAATGGTTTAGTATGGGATTGTAACAGTTTGTACTAGTTGATTATTGATTTGCAATGGTTAAGTGTGGGTTTGTAACAGTTGATTATGAGGTTGTAATGGTTTAGAACAATTGAGCGCGTTTCTAATGATTTGTAGCAGTTGCAATGTTGGTTTGCAATAATTGAGTATCAACTGATAGTGGCACAATACATACTGAGATGTGTTGGATACTATAAAATTTTACTAAGGGGCCATTTGATAACATCTGAAGTTGCTGAAAGTTTGTTACTTTGTATTTTAGTGAATTAGTTTTTAAGGAGGTTGTGGACTCCTTAATGGCTGAAACTGAAGTTGAGTAGTGTTTAGGATTAAAAATATATAATATATATGATGTAAAAAAATAATATAAGGCTTGAGGGGCCAGATTTGACAGCTGGCCTACTTCACATAAATTTAAAATTTAATTTATTCTGGTTATGGGGGGAGTTAAGTAACCACCCCACGTATGAAGAGTGGGGAGGTTGCTTTAACTTCCGTACCCATAACTGTCTCCTCTAAATAAGGGAGAGAGGAGAGGAAAAATGGGTGGAAGATAGAGAAAAGAGAGAAGAGAAAGAGATTAAAGAGAAAGAGAAAAAGGGTGAGAAGAGAGGAAGAGAGGAAATAGAGGAGGGAACTTGTAGTTCTGCTGATTGAATTATCATGAATTAGTGGATTCCACTATCAAATCAGTATAGTGGGCCCCACTGTTAGAACATTTAAGTTTAAAGTGGGTTATACTCACTATTTAAATAACATATATCAATGGGGCCCACTATTTAAATATTTGAGTTCCCAATCAGCATAGTGGGTAACACTAGTCAGTGGGGCTCACTATTAAAATATTTAAGTTTAAAACATTAAAGTAGGCCACATCCACTATCAAACCAATAGTGGGTCCCACCTATCAGTGGGCCCCATTGTGGAAATTTTTTTAGTTTAAAATATTCAAGTGGGTCACACCCACTATCAAACCAACATAGCGGCTCCTGCTTATCAACAGGACCTACAATTAAATTTTTTAAGTTTAAAATATTAAAGTGGGTCATGCCCACTATCAAACCAACATAGTGGGTCTCACCTGTCAGCAGGGTCCACTATTAAAATATTCAAGTATAAAATGTCAAAGTGGGCCACACCCACTATCAAGTCATCATAGTGGCCCCACCCATCAGCAGGGCTCACTATTAAAATATTCAAGTTTAAAACATTAAGGTGGGCCACACCCACTAGCAAGTCATCATTAGTGGGCCCTGCCCATCAATGGGGGCCTACTGTTAAAATAATTAAATTTAAAATATCAAATTGGGTCGCATCCACTATCAAATTAGTATAGTGGGTCCTCCTATTTGTTTATGGGGCCCACTGTTAAAACATGTTGAAACATTAAAGTGGGTCATGCGCACTACCAAATTAGTATAGTAGGTCCCACTTTTTACCGATTAACGGGACTCACTGTTAAGATGTGTAAGTTTAAAATACACAAGTACCCAATGGTGAAAGGGCCCTATCCTATGACCTATCTACCAATTGTGGGGCCTGCTCATGGGTATAACCCACTAAGAATCCAAGCTGATGGGACTGTTTATACCTAAGTAACTCTTTCACGTAAAATCAAAATCAAAGGGTATTTCCTCTAAGGAATATAATTAAGGGGTTAGCAAACATAGTGCATACTTATACACCCTGAATAGGGAAACCCTAATTCTACTCAAGTTCTTTTTTTTTTTGGTGAATTATGATCAAAGCAGGTAGATCACTATATCCTTTAAAATTTTATTATTTAATTATTTTAACAACTAAAAGACAAAGCAGTAAGTCTTCCAGTTCAGCAACTTGGGCTGTTATCAAATGGCCCCTAAGACTGATGATTTCCTACCATGCTATGTATCTGTATTTACCAAAAACTGATATCTGTCCTCTGTCGGTATTTTAAACCATGGAGTTAACATTGGATTGCAATGTATTGGGTCCAATCTGATCCAATTATATAATAGTTTGTTTAGTATGGTCCAATTGAATCCAATAATCATATATCTGAATCCAGTTTAACTGGATTGGATCCAATTCATTGACAGCCTAGGTCCACCCCCTTTGTTTTCTTCCCATAGGCTGTGTAATGTTTCTTCCATTCTGCTTTTAATGTTTATTACTTTCATGTTTTATCACTTTTAGTGTTTGATACTTGCTATCTACTTTCTATATTTGATTCTTTAATGTTATATCACCTTTATGTTTTTATACTTGCTCTACCATGTTGCCTTCCCTTGCCTTTGCACCTTGCCAAATATGCAACAAACATTACGAGTTGAAAAGGATTATAAAGGAAACTATGAATTTAAATTCTCAAGTGAGCAGAGAATGTATAGAGCCTGGAAGTACTCGATGTTTATTTATGAAATGAATGCATTAAATGGGACAGAATTAGAGAGTTGCTGATTAAGCTTATAAAATCCCAGTTATGTACTGCCCTTTTTTTGACCATTAGCGCAACCAGAATAATTTATTATGAGAAAGCAAAAAATCCCAGTGGTTATTCTAAGATCTGAACTAGAAAGTTAGGATTTGGGAACTCTTATTATTTCTTGCTTGGTTAGTCTTGAAATTTGACTTATGACTATTATTATAAACTTATAATACAAACTTTTATTTTCCAAGTATACTATTTCTTTTACCTAGACCATGGAGGTAAAATTCATTTCTTGATTTAAATTTGTCAAGTAGGTATCAAGGTCTTTATACCAGCATGGCATGGGATATTCAACTACAAATGATCCAGAAACTCATGAAGATTTCAGACCTACCACCAAAGTCGTGAATTCTGGCCTTTCCAAAACCGACATTGTTGAGCAGGTTTGTTTTTGCTATCAACTTGTGAAAACTAGCACTTCTACATTGTTTTCTTAGTTAAACTTTATTAAGATATTACTGCCTGAGATTCACTCCTTTGCTCTAGTGGTTCTTGTTTGTGGATAATGGTCAGTTTCTGATCTACAGGATGTCAAGGAAAATCCAGTGGTGATTTATATGAAAGGGGTTCCTGAGGCTCCTCAATGCGGATTCAGCTCACTGGCAGTTAGAGTGCTGAAACAATACAGTAAATGTCCAAATGCTTGATCTGGATTTGCTATCTTCTGCTTTTTCTTTTTCTTTCTTTTTTTTGGTCATATGCTTGATGATAATGATATGCTTGATTTGCATCCAAAACTTAATTTTTCCATCTCTAATGAAGTTTGTTCTTTAAACTTTACAATGCTACACTGTTGAGAAATGAAACTCAGCTAGAGCTGGCCCAACCCCATCCCACCTGACCCTATTACACAAGGTCTGGGTGTATTATTAGTCCCGATTTTTAATAAGGCCATTTCTGGATTTGCATTTTGTACACACTCATGTGTTATGCACAGATGCACATAAAGAAAGAAAAGAAAGAGGAAAGAAAGAATAGAATAATGAAGAACACCCTTCAACTTTCAAAAAGAGAGAGAGAGAGGAGGGAGAAAGAAAGAGGTAAAGAAAAACCTTTGCCTTGAGCATAGGGCAAGGCTTTGGGAAGATTTGGCAAAGGCAAGAGGTTCCTGTGTTTGTCTGTGGGTGATAGGGAACAACTTTAATGTTGTTAGATTTGTTGAAGAGAGAAGTGGGGGAAGCAGAAGGTTGAGAGTGATGAAATTGTTTGCAGTTCATGCTGAATAGGAAGAGAGGGAAGATGGGAGGGTTCGTGGAGGTAGGCCATCGGAAAAAATCCTTGAAGATTGAAGTAAGGAGCTTCTATTTGAGGAACAGAGATTAAATGGTCAGCTGAGCTTGAAAATCAGGGAAGCAAAGAAAGGAATGGTGCTGTTAGAAGGTTTGGGGGTGATTGAAGGGTTCAAGGAGTTTGTGGAAGGTGCAAGTAACAAAGGCAAACAAAATAATTGGAAAGAGTTTCTCTCAGAAACTGGAAGAAGGTTTGTAGTAGAGTGTAAGAGAAATTCTAAAGGCTTTTTCATTTCTTTGACAGAATTTTTTGGCAAGGGTAGGAAACAGATGATCTGTTTCCCAGAGGTAAGGAAAAGCCGGGGCTGGAAGGCAGTTCATGGGGTATTATGTGAACTGCTGCAGCGGTTGGGACTGTTGGGTGCTAAAAGAGAAGTAACAGAAAAAAGGAAGATAAGCAGTTCTACTAGTCTGGAGAGCAATAATAAGCAAGAGACTCTTATAGTGACAGCTGGGGCAGGTAAACACAGAATGGGAGTAAACCTACAGAGAGGAGATTGGGAAAGTAAACTGATAGTTAAAGCTTCAGCTCACATTCTAGATTGGAGGAAAGTTGCAGATTTGTTAACAACAAGCTTGAAGTTGAAGAGTACGTTTATTTTAACGCCCTTTGAGAAAGACAAGGCTTTGCTGGACTTGCTTGAGAATAGAGTAGAAGTTGAGGCTCTAAATATCCAAGCTGAACTTGGGAATTTCACATTATCAAGATGGTGTCCGGGATCAAACTCCAAAGATTTATTCGTTGAAGATGGAGTGCTGGTGCGTTTCTTAGGCCTTCCCTTTCACTTGTAGAAGCAAGAAACTGCTGAAGCCATTGCTTTGATGTGTAGAGGATCACTAGGAGGTGTCTTTTGGGGAGACCTCTTTTCAGCTTCCATTTTATTGAATGGAGTAAAACCTGAGGAGATTCCTCAAGATAGAGGTGCGAGTTGAAGGACAATTTTACTCAGTGTGGCTGGCTTCATCCATTGAATCTGTGCTTTGGAAAGAGGCTCGTAGGGAGGGAGATGAGAAGCTTGAAGAAGAAGAACTGCGTGGCAATAAAGGATTGGATGGTTCAAACAAGAATAGCACCTTCACTAAAATGGAAAAATAAATGCTGGAGAAACAAAAAGGTAGCATTCAGGGGGAGGGTCTTATCTGTGTAGAAGCAGTAAACAGCCTGGAGGGTGGCAGGTCCTTTGCACAGGTTGTAACTGTATCCACCTAAGGCGGGTAAGGTGGATACAGGAAGCCCAGTTCAGGGGCCCAACCCAAAAGGTCTTGACTTAAAAAAGGCACGTGACCAACCATGTGCCTTCGATAGATGGTTATTACCATCTATCTTCTTCTTCTTCTTTGAGTGCAACGAACCGTGCAACAGGGAGCCTGAACTCGGCGCGCTATGGAGCTTCGAAACAATGGGTTCCGGTAGTAAGATTAGAGCAATCATCGCCTGAAAAGCGCAATCCAAGGTGTATTAAACAAAGGGATTTAGAGGAAAGAAAGAAGGAGCTCTCTTAGTTTGAAGTTTTTAGCGGTTCTGAATCGGATGATTATGAAAGTCTGGGCAGCATCGATCTTAGCAGATCAAAGGATATTTCTGAAGAAGATAACCTTGGAACGGAAGTATTGTTCCTGGAGGAGGAGGGAGGTGATTATCAGAGTTTTGAGGGAGGCTTGAAGAGTTCGATGGAATGACAGAAGACAACTACGGTTGGGACTCAGATTCTGTCTACACTGGCAAGGGAGATCAACTCCTTAGCGCAGGAAGAACATGTTATGGCCTTATGGGTTTGGAAAGGAAAGACTCTACCGGACTGCTCTGTGATGTATCACCTATAGCCAGACAGCAGTGGAAGACTAACTCAGATGCGGAAGTTGTCAAGTTGTTGATCTCCTATGAAAATTTTTCTAAGCAGATCAGACCTCAGGAGACAGATTTAGACTTGCCTCCCGATGTCGGTCCCGATCCCTTGAAAGAGTTTCATTTGGCTCCTAACAACGAAGGTACTCTTGTCAATTCGGTTTTTGTTACTGATGTTCTTCCTGTGGTTGAAACAGATACACCAGCATCCTGAGAGGAGTCTTTAGGTGAGGATGAAAACAGAGAGCTTAGCATTGGTGAAGGTGAGAGGAGAGAGGGAGAGTTGGAGGTTACGAAGAAGCGGGAGGAAGAGTTAGAAAAAATATGGGAGCAAATTTGTGCATTATTGGAGGAGTATAAAACAAAGGAGGAGGGGTTAGATGGTAGGGCACCTGAAGCAAATCCTTAGAATAAGGAGAGTAATAGAAGTTCTAGGCTGGGGGGGGGAGTGAGTAAAGGCAATGGGTTGACTAAAAAATTAGAGGGGAATGTGAGAAGGAAGAAGAAAAAGGGAATAGAAGTGGAGAGACTGTTATCAGATATAGAAGGTGATATCGAGTTTAGTGGAAGGGGAGAGAGAAGGAAGGGTTCTTTGTGAGATGGAACCAGGTTCGTAAGGGGCGTTTGAAAGGAGTCTTATTATGAAAATCATTAGTTGGAATGTGAGAGGGTTAGGGAGTGCAAGAAGGAGAAGGGCAATCAAAGACCTGCTGAGGAGAGAGAAGCCTGATATAATTACAGGAAACTAAGTTGGCAGATTTGGACAGAAGATGGGTCAGGAGTGTGTGGAAATCAAGCGGAGTGTGTTGGACTTTAGCTCCCTCATGGGGAACCTCATGCGGAAATCAAGAGGAGTGTGCTGGACCTTGTGGAGAGAGGATGTTGTAGAATCTGTGGAAGAACTTATAGGGGGATTCTCTGTGTCTTTAAAATTCAGAAATGTGGAAGATGGATTCATTTGGGTGTTAACTAATGTCTATGGGCCAAATAGTTATAGGGAAAGGAAGGAAATGTGGGAGGAGTTGTATGGAATTCAAGGCTTGTGGCATGGCCCATGGTGTTTGGGGGGGGGGATTTCAATGTAATCAGGTTTTGTAATGAATCAAATACCCCCCAAAGATCGATTACTACAAGTATGAGAAATTTCAATGAATTAATTAACACCTATGGGCTAAAGGAATTACCCTTTCTACAAGCTAACTTTACTTGGTCAAATTTCAAAGAAAACCCCCTTTGCTCCAAACTTGATAGATTCCTTTTTAATGTAGAGTGGGAGGATCATTGGAGGAATTTGGTGGCTAAAACCCTTCGTAGAGTTACATCTGATCATTGCCCTATACTATTAGGTCAAGATGTTCTAGGCTTTGGCCCTCAACCCTTTAGGTTTGAGAACATGTGGCTAACTCATCCGGATTTTGAACGAAAGGTTGGTGAGTGGTGGAATGAAGATTTGAGAGGGGTTAAGTGGAAAGGTGTAAGGTTCTGCAAAAAGTTGAAGAGACTGAGAGCAAGGATTAAAGAGTGGAATCGAGAGCATTTTGGAAGGGTAGAGGATCAAAAGAGTATTTTAATGTCTAGGATTGATGAACTAGACTACAAAGAATTCTAGGGGGTTATGAATGAGCAAGAAAGGATTTTGAGAAGTAGATTAAAAAAGGAATTGGAAGAAGTCCTCCTTAGAGAAGAGATCTCATGGAGGCAAAAGTCAAGACACAAATGGATCAAACAAGGGGATGGCAATACAAAATTTTTCCATGTGTTGGCTAATGGGAGGAGAAGAAAAAATTGTGTGGCCAAATTAGAAGTGGATGGGGAGGAAATCACAAATCAAGATGATATAGCAAAAGTGTTGGTGGACCACTTTAAATCAACTGCAGGGAAGCCTCTGAATAATAGACTAAGGTTGGAAGGTCTAGATTGGCCCAGGCTGTCTGAAGAGCAAGCAAGTTGGTTAGAGAGGAATTTTGAATAAGAGGAAATTAGGTATGCAATGTTTTCAATGGATAGATCCAAAGCCCCTGGACTAGATGGCTTCCCCATGGCTTTCTATCAAGATTGCTGGAATCTGGTAAGAGAAGACCTTTGTGCTGTGTTTAAGGAATTTGAAGTTAATAGCAAAGTAAGCCCTGGAGTTAATGCCACTTTCATAGCTCTAATCCCTAAGAAGAAAGAAGCAAAAAATCCTAAAAATTTTAGGCCGATTACTTTGGTGACTAGCATTTACAAAATCCTGGCTAAAGTGTTATCCTTGAGGATTAAAGTAGTGCTACCCTCCATCATTAGTCAAGCCCAGGGAGCTTTCATGCAAGGGAGACAAATAACAGATCAGATTCTAATAGCGGATGAATGTGTGGAGAATATGAGAAAGTCCGGAAAGCAAGTTTTGTTTGTAAGTTGGATTTAGAAAAGGCCTATGATCTTGTGGACTGGAGCTTCTTATTAGAGGTCCTAGGGTGTTGTGGGTTTGGAGTTAGATGGTGTAATTGGATAAA